CTGGCCCTGTGAGCAGCATGGGGTGCTGTCCTGTTTTTGCTGGGATGGAGTTAATTGTCTCCTCAGGAGCTGGAATAGCTGTGCTCTGGTTCCAGTGTGGGATTTGTCAGGAGAAGAATGTTGATCAGGTGCTGATGTTTTCAGTTGCTGCTGGAAGTCCAAGGTCATCGTGTTTTGCCAGTTTGCAAGTGCAAAGGGCTGGGAGGGGGGAAGCCAAAGGGGTGAAACCCCCACATGTGCAGAGCTGATGCCAGAGACGGGCACAGCCCACACCAGGGCAAGACACCACACCTGGGGTTCGGACCTGGCCGGTGAGAGGAGCAGCAGCAGCAGCGCCTTTGCCTGGGAAGCACCAGCAACACAGATGGGGCTTCATCCCATCACCCACAAGAGTGTCTGGGAACATCTGTACGGCTGTGTCCCACCTCTGCGAGGAGACAGGGCTGTGCAGAACTCGGGACAGGCAGGGACAGTGTTGGTTTGCTCTGGCCAAGGCTCAGACAGTGGGAAGCTGTGTCCTTCTGCTCCGCCAGCAACGCTGCGCGGGCGAGGGGCTCTTTAGGGTCTGCGTGGCAGGGCACACGCGTGCCGAGAGGGGCCGGGAGGTCACTGCACATCTCCAGTGCCTGCTCCCTCGCCTGACACAAACCCCACACCTGCACTGGTTCTGCCAGTGATATCTGTCTTAAATTTCTTACAGCAGCATCCGTTCTCCCCCAAAGGAGCTGCCCGAAATTGAAGGCTTAGGGACTGTGATCCCAGAGGGAGAGGAGCAGGAGGAGCAGGAGCAGAGGGAGCGCGCGGCTCGCGGGACACGGCCGTACCTTGGGCTGGTGCTCGATCTTGTAGGAGGTTTGCTGGAACTGGCGGATCTCTCGTAGGATGTGGGAAATCTGTCAGGAGATAAAGCACAGCGGCTGCTCACAGCACCACCAGCACCACCGGCACCACCGGCACCGTGTCCCCGCGCCCCGAGGGTGACCAGCAGCCAGGCAACCGCACTCCACTCTCTGCACCGTTCAACTGCAGCGCAATGCAAAGGGCTTTTTTGGTTCTTCCCCACACATCCCTCACCAGGGACAACCCCGGC